CTCGGTGCCCAGGCCGGGCCCTGATTCCAAGCTGCAGGGTGCAAAGTGCTCTGAGCACCAAGGAGTCTGCAGTGACCCGGGCATGCCCAGAGCGCAGCTGCGCGCAGGGGTTCCCACGGGCGCGGTGCTTTCTATGATACACAGGTGTGCAGTTGGGCTCCCTGGCTCGCAGCACCGCTCCTCCCCCGCACACATTGTTCCCGGGGGTTCCTGCCTGCTGCCCCAGGAGCACGTGAGCGCTGTAATTTGGGGACCTGAGCTCCGGGAGGAGCCGGTTCCCGTTGGGCACCATCCCAGCCCGCCCATCTCTGACATTCCCAATGGGCACTGAAACGTGCAGGGAAGGAACCCTGTCTCCAGCCCTCCAGATCCGCAGACACTCGCCGTCTGTGTTAACTGGATCGTGTAAAAGGGCGTCAGGTCGCAAGCAATTGGAAATAGCTGCGCCTTCCACCGGAGCTCACCGATCAGCCACACCGACTCTGAATGGCACCGTGGCAAACCAAAACGGTTCCCTCGCAATACTGAGAACGGTGTATTCGCCCTATGATGTACAATAACTAAGTCCCCGGGGGGTTGTATTGATAGGACTATATTTAATAGAAGATCACCCCCTTACCGAAATAGCGACGCCGCTCAAAAACTATTCCGCGTGTCTACACAGAAGAAGAAAAGAAACTGGATCAAGAAATGTAGCAACTTGTTAGTATCCCTGACCTACTGTCTCCCCAGTTCCCTCACCCCTTTCTGGGCACTACGGGGCTGCATTTCAGCTCTTTTTCGTTTGCCTGTTGAATAAAAGACCATTTCTATTTTCCAAAAGAAAAAAAGTCAAAGCCACCGTGGCACACGGATTTTCAGGAACCTCTTGAGGCGGCTCCTTTCTGTCGGTTACATTATATCGTACATCACACCTGGATAATCCCGATTTCAGTCCCGCTTCTGTGACGATCAAAACCTGCTTTGGTCAAAAATACTCACACATTTCTCTTTTTCGTTTTCAGAGGATACAAATAGAGCGAGCGGAGAAATTGCCGTCGATTTGCATTGATCATTAATTTTTAAAAAACCTCTCGACAAGCTGCCTTCTTTTTCGGTGAAATGAAATATGCCCCATGTTCAAAAGACACAACAGGACTTCTGCTCAACATGTGTCCTACGTTACCAGACCCTCTGATGGTTTTAGAAAGCGCCTATATTTTTTCGGGGGAAATACGTAATGTACTCGCGCAATTAAATGAGGTTTCGTTGTGTAACCGCTCACTGCAGATCCTAATTTTCAACGACATCTTTTAATGTGTTGTTTTGCCATCGTTCTTTCCTATCCGTATAAAGCTAGTTTTATCTGTATCTATGGAACTTTAAAATATGTTTGCGATTACAAAACGGGCATGCCTCTAGACATACGTGTTGCTTGCGATAAAATGTTGTCATTTCTGCCTTCGTCATTTCGTTTTTATTCAAATACACTACGGAGGTGGGTGGAGATATTTGCAGATCCTATTTTTTGTTTAATCGCTCATCCTTAGCAACACTGGAACAGCCCCAGTGTAAACCTCGCAGGCAGTAATTCGATTCGATTGCATAGTTGCAATGTATGCGACTAGCTATACAATCACTCGCTTTGATTGGCCCCTTGTCAGATGCACGCTCCCGCGAACACTTTTGCGCAAGGAAGCGAGGCTGTCTGCATGGGTGGTTCCCCCCTGTTTACGTTTTGCCCATAAAGTCTCATACAAACTTTTCTGGGGACGTTTCAGAGTTTCCATGGGGGATGAAGGCTCTGAGAAAATCTAAACACCTGCCTGAAGTGGAGATCCAAGATTTCACACCAGCTGGGGCTATCCGGAACTGCTAAGCAGGAATATTTAGCCACGAGTGGTTCTAAAGAAAAGTTTGGTTTACTATTTAATTCTAGGTTCCTATAAGGTTCCAGAGCTCCTTTACTATTCCCCCATGCTAGGCTGTGGTGAGGTATCAAAATACCTCACAGGAGATCAAGTCACTTCTGCGTTCACTTTTGTACCAAGTTGTGTCCGGCGATTTAGCTTGCGAACAGTTTCTCCGCCTACCTGCATCAGTCCGTTTTACATCCCGACGTAGAAACAGTGAATTAATGAAAGCACAACTGAAACCGACTTTTTGGCGAACGTGGATAGCTATACAAGTGTGGGGTGGGGTTTTACATCCCAACGGGGTTTTTTTAAGCCTTCGACCACTTCCCTCCCATCCCCGTAAGAAGAGGTATTTAACCCATCTCCGCATAAATAAAGGGGTCCCCAAGCCAGTTGGGCGACACCTTTCCAGCATTAATAGAAAGATAAGATAAGATAAGATAAGATAAGATAAGATAAGATAAGATTCAGGGGATGTTTTCACGTTTATTGTTGCCTGGTTTTTAGTCCCGCATTAGCAGTTCCTGTAACTAAACCAGTCCTGGAAGGAAATTGTGTGTGTGTTTCGGAGAGGGAGAGGGGACCGAAAGAGACAGACTCCACGGGAGCACTTCTGGCCTATAGACGTGGCTCCGACATGCACAAAGACCTGCAGGCACTGGCTGAAATTAACAAGGTAACTGACCCGAGCGCACCGCTGGAAGGATTCAGCCACCATCCCGCCGCCAGCGTCAGCAGCCGCTTTGCTTCCCCAGCAAATGCAGAGACTTTCTCCGTTATCCCAGAACCCCCTTCCCCCTTCCCCTCCACACACACACAAACCTCCCGCCGCCGCTGTTCCCGCCCCTGCCCCCGCCCAGGGCCACAAGACGCGCCGGGAAGGAGCCAACACCAGCGGTTTTTCTCTGGCTGCTGTTCAGTCACTTCACGTGGGCTGGGACTCCCGGGCAGTTGGGGGGGGGGGATTTTATTCTGAGACCTCTTGTTCCGCTCTCAGTAAGGAAGGGAAAGCGGGAGCTGCCCCGTGGCTCGTGTTTCTTCGCCGGGGATGCGCGTTTCCCCGGCCAGAGCCCGAGGCAAAGCGCACGGCCATTGCAGTTAGTAGATTCACAGCGAAACAGCCACACGCACCGCAGAAAGCCCCGTCGGATCAGGCGGGCTGAGCTAGAGCCTGCAGCCTCCTGCCTCTATAGACGGAGGGGCTGGATTCTGCCAGCCTCCCTGGAGCATTTTAAATCCCACCAAATGGAGGGGGGGAATCACTCGCCAAGCCTTTATTTCGGGGCCCTCTTTAATACACTCTGTTTTCCTAGGGTTTCTTTTGCAAAGCTTCGTTTATGGGCTGAGCCTCCAAGCCAACAGGAGAAAATATATTAGACCAGGGGTGGGCAATAATTTTTGCAAGGGGGAGGGGGATTAATACATTTTGCTTTGTTGTCACTGACAGGTTCCACCCACCCCAGCCAGGAAGGGGTACGATTGGAGATTAGCCTCCCCTCAGAGTTGTCTGGGGCCAGAGGCTTTGAATTAAACTCCCAGCCCCACTGCTACTGCGTTACCTGGCAGCCGCCCAGAGTTGCTGTGACTATTTCAAAGGCTCAGGGCTCCAGCCCATACCGAGTTCATGCCGCAACCACGAGCCATTTAAATAGAATCCTGCTGTCTGAGCCACCACCTGGAAATTCAGTGGCACAGGCAGCAGAGTATAAATAGAAAGTGGCCAGATGCAGTCCACAGGCAGAATCAAAGTGTTAGACTGGCTGGATCCGGCTCCCCCCACCTCGCCCTGCATTAGGCTGTTCCCTGTGTCTGTGTAAATTCATATGAATCCAGGAGCAGAGAGCTATTCTTTCTCCATGTGCCTCTATAGCAACTACACACTGCAGGACAGTTTATGATAATACCATCAGAAACCTTTGATTGCTTTCTAACCTTGTTCACAGCATATACAGGGCTCCTTTGGTTTCTATACAATACACTGACCATTTCAGCCTCAAAACCTTGGTGCTTAGTGGAGAAAGGTGACTTGGAAATTAGATATTGCTACAGTGCCAACATTTCAAACTCATCTCAGCTAGGGCTCAACCCCACAATCCCTTTCTCTAGGGAGCATTTGCACTGGTTGCTTTTGTAAATCATTTTTATTATTGGGTTTTCATGCAGCCCATGCTAGGTGCCTCACAGGAACATGCAAGAAGTTCCTTCCCCAATGAGCTTGCAATGGCTTAAGGCAAGAAGCAACGGGCTTAAAGTGCAGCAATGGAGGGTTATGTTGGACATTAGAGAAAAAACTTGCCTGTGGAATCTCCATCACTCCGTGCCCGTATCGGCCTTATCAGCCATTTGCGGACACACCATGAACAGTCCATAACCTGTTAGATGTCAAGGTCCTCTTCGAATACGATGGACGAACAACAACAACAACAACAACAACAACAAGGTGCCACAGGACTCCTTTCCGCTTTTTCAGATTCAGACTAACACAGCTCCCCCTCTGATACTTGACTTTCCATCACTGGAGATATTTAAGAGCAGGTTGGATAGACATCTGTCAAGGATGGTGTAGATGGTGCTTGGTCCTGCCATGAGTGCAGGGGCCTGGGGTTGATGATCTCTCGAGGCCCCTTCCAGTTCTAATATTCTATGAGGCTATGTCTACACTACGAGTTTTCTCAGCAAAAATATGCTAATGAGGGACTCATTTGCATGAGTCGTGATCTCATTTGCATATTTTTGCTGAACCTTTTTTGCACTGGGGTTTTTGCACAAAAACAAGCAGTGTCGATGTTTTCTTTTTGTGCAACCTCCCCCCTCCCTTTTTTGCAAGATCGGTATACCTTTTTTGGGGCATAAGGATCTTGCGGGAAAAGGGGGTATTGTGCAAAAAGAAAATGTTCACACTGTTTTCAGCATAAATATGCAAATGAGACCATGACTCATGCAAATGAGTCCCTCATTAGCATATTTTTTGCTGAGAAAACTCGTAGTGTAGACATAGCCTCATTTTATGACTTCTAGAGCAAGAGTTTGCCCTCAGTCATTGCCAGGGATTTATTCACTTTCGGAATGCCCACAGAGGACTTAATTGTCCTAGGCACTGTACAAATCCATTGATTGTGATTACTTTCAATGAGCAACTCTCCAAATACATAATTGATCATTATATCATCCCACCCAGGACCCAGGGACCTGCTGTCACATACGTGACACAGCACAGTCACATGTATAAATGCCATGAGGGCTCTGATGTTCCCCAAGCACATAGAAAAGAACTCTAGGCCCAATGGAGGGTGATTTTACATCACCTGAACTGAATTCAAATCACTGGAAACCAAGGTGCTTTCCCCACTGGTATCTGCATAAAACCTAAGTAGACTCACTGTCATTAAAAACCAAGCCGCTTCTATATCTATGTCACGTTGGACAAGCCCATTAAGGCACTTGGCTTGCTCTGGAGAATGTACATTCCATGGGCCCAATCCTGGAAACACACACATGCTTCCCTTTCAAGTCATTCCATTGAAGCTAGAGGGACTACCCACATGCATAGTGTTAAGCACATGTGTGTTTACAAGATCAGAGCCTCAGGGGGAAAAAACCCAATGCCCAGGAGAGAGAGGTGACAGGTGAGAGAGGGAAGGCTGGGGAGAGGGTTATGTAGGTGAAGAAAAAAGGGGAGGGACAGCCTCAAGAGGTGGGTTTGAAGGAGAAGGAAGGGGTGATAACACAGCAGGCTGGGCGAGCCTGACAGAGAGGCAGGTAGGATGGGCAGCTGGGGGAAACAGGGGTAGAGATGCAGGTGGTGGCAAGGCACAGCCTTGCTGAGGATGTCAAGGAGTGGTGCTGTTAGAGGCAAGGAGCCAACAGATGTGGGATGATGGGTCTGGAGTGCTACTAAGGAAGAAGAGGCCTTTCCCAGCAGCATTTCAGCAAACCATCTTCTTCCCAGCCCCTATGCTCATCTTCCTCCTTTGACTACAATTCACAAGCAGGAACCCCTACGCATATTGCTACACACTCACACTGTACAGCAAGTCGAGATTCTTTGCATGAAAAATGGCCTTTTAAAAAGGCATCGCCGATTAAGGGCTGCAGCTGGAATCCGTTCAACAGAAAATTATGCAGCAGGCACATTGTATAATTTTACAATTTGAGCACCTCTCCTTTTGCAGTTGGTGCACTGACGTGTTTTGACAGCGCAGTACTGTAAACCCATCATCATCTTTCTTGCAAGAGTCTTTGTTTCAGGATATAGGGCGAAGGAGAGAAAAGTTGCCTAAAGTTGTATGAAGTGAGATTGCCCACAAGAGAAGTGCCCGCCACTCAGCAGTTGACTTCCCCTGTTGATCCAACAGAGCCCATGTTCATGACCCTTTCCTTTAAACTCAGTCATACTGGGGAGAGTAGGGATTACTTTCCTGACTGTTTAATGAAGGAAGGATGGGGCCCCTTTGCCAAGACATAAAGACACCTTGGAGAAGGAAAGACCAACAGCTGTGACGTTCCCTTCCAGATCTG